CACACACACACACACACACACACACACACACACACACACACACACACACACACACACACACACACACACACAAACACACACGCACAAACACACACACGCACACACAGAGAGAAAGACAGACAGAGGCAGAGGGACCACCCAGTCCCTCAAACGGCCGCGCGCTATTACGCGCATATTTTTATTTTTTTTCAATCAATCAAGCAATCAATTAATCAATCAATCAATCAGTCAACAACCAATCCACCATCAGTCAGTCAATCAATCAATCAATCAATCAATCAATCAATCAATCAAAACCTTTCTTTTGTTTTTGTTTTTGTTTCTTTCACTCGTTTAAGTGTTTCTTTTTTAATCTTTTAATCTAAGAACAAACAAAAAAGAAGGGTCGTAGAGCTCTCTGTGCTCTACAACCCGGTTTTTTTTTTTTTGTTTTTTTTTTTTTGGCACGGGATGCAGTATAGTATAGCCTTAGTACGAACGGCTGTAACACCGTTCGTACGGATGTATGATAGGACCCCCGTACGACATACGGTGGAGTACATAGAAACGAGTGGGTCCGCCGAGTCCCAGGGAATGAGAGAGAAAACGACAGAGCCAGAAAGAGCACTCTACACAGCTAAGTGGTAGGGCAGCATGGGGGCAGGGCAACAACAACAAAAAAAGAGCCTCGTCACAGCTAAGCGGTAGGGCAGAACGCGGGCACGGCAAAAGAACAGTGTACAACATTCTACAAGTTCCTGGACAGCCAGCCGGACCGCATGCACGCCCCCCAGAAGAAACAAAGGGCCTGCAGACACATCGAAGTGGCCTTGCATGGGCCTGGGTCCCCTACTCACCCATTGTGGGAAACGGGCCTCGGTCCACTACTGGCATGCACCACAAGACAAAAATCATGGTGGTGTATCTTTCCATGTTCTAGCAGAGATTCACTCTCATTGTGCACATTTCAAGAGTAGTGGAGCGAGGCCCAAAGAAAATCAATCTTCCGCTAGAGCATGGAAAGATCCACCGCCATGATTCGTGTCCTTTCTGCGTGTGGCCAGTAGTGGAGCAACCCCTATGTACTTGTCTTCGAACATGAGGAGACCAGGAAAGAGCCTGGGGAAATTCACAAAAACAGATGGGGAAGAGCAAACGCGGCACCCACCCAAACTCCGACCCAAAAAAACAAAACGGACGGTCGGCGAAGAAGCTGAACGGGTTGCTGCTAGACTGCGATTATGCCAGCTGTCACCCAGAACCCGGAATGCGAAACTCCCTGCTGGATACGGTGTGGCACTTGGGCCACAACATGACAAAAAGCAAACAAAACAACAAAAAACACTCCCCCACACTCTGCTTCTTTTCAGAATGTATCTGCCCCGGATCACGTCCGAAGCAGAAGACACCCTGGTGTGAGTGTCCCCGTCCCGAGCCCAGCTACGTACTTGTATTCGAACATGCCGCCTGAGACTTGGCAAATGCAAAAAACGTCGGAAGGCCCACACAGCCCGAGGCCCCAGAGGGAATTGCCATTTTCCCAACACTGGCAGCCGGGCCTCGCGGGAGCATCATGCAAGGCCCAGCTTACACTTTAATCAGAATATAGAAATGAGAGCCAACGGAGCATGATTGACCGGTCACAGTGCAAAAGAAGTTGAAGCCAAACTCGATACTAAATCTTCAGAAAGTCGTCACCAGAAATGCGCATATTCTGGTTGGAGGAGCAGCTGCATTGTTCGCCACTTCTTACAGCTATCTGTCTCCAATTCTCACAGCTATCTGTCTGGTGTCTGGTAGCTAGACAATGAGCGCGGCAAAGCCAGATGATGTAGTTAAGGGGATATGCTGATGTTTGACTAGGGAAGTGTGTCTGAATCCCATTTGACTGAAGAAAGAAAGGAAAATATGATGAGTTCAAGTCAGAGCGTACAGGATATCATCTCCGCTACCTGAGAGAAGAAGTATCCTCAGATTCAGTCTCCCGTCAAGACTACCTACCAACGGGCCTAGCTCAGTTTGTACACTCATGAACTGTTGGAATACAGAGGCAAGTTCGAGGGGGCAAAGGATAGGCCCGGAGTTAGATACTAAAGGCTATAGCTTAGGGCCTTTGGGCAGGGATGAAGGGAGGTACATTCTTTCACATTGGAAGTAATCAATGCCGCCCACTTGCCTCTCCCTACCATAAAGAAGAGAAGAGTTGGTGTGCGTCCATGATGTATCCTTGACTTGACGGTGGAAGAGGAACCGTCCTGACCCTCCCCAGAGTGGATACGGAGCCAGCGACGTAAGGCCCTGTTCGTTTGCAAAAAAAAAAAGGAAAGAAAGAAGTTTGGCGTTCCATGCATTTAGAGTACACAGGGGGAAGCAGAATACGGACACGGACTCACCCAAAGCACAAGGCTTTCTTGTCCCCTTGGCCGATTCATGTCGACTGGCGCAAGTCCTGAGATAAGCTCCAACAAGACAACACCAAAGCTAAAGACATCGGATTTCGTGCTGACACGTCCAAGCATCGCATACTCTGGAGCAAAGTAGCCAAACGTTCCAAGTACTCTAGTCAAAGCTGGAGACGTTTGACCGCTCTCCGTTCTATCTGCCTTTGCCATCCCAAAGTCCGCAACCTGGAACACAATCCACAGGAACAGGAAATCACAATCAGCACGAGGACCAATAAAGAAAACAATAAAAACGGAGTCAACAGAGTGTTGCGTTGACAGTCAAGTCTGCCGGATCAAATTTCAACCGATTTTTTGCATAGCAAAAATATTGTGAAGAGAGAGAGGGGAGAGGAACAGGACAGCAATGAATGAAAGAAGAGGACCGAAAAGGATTGAGAAAATGAGGGAAGAAAGAGGGCGGAAAGGCATGGGTTGCAATCACAGCATCACCACCACGATTGACAACGACAACAATGAGAATGCCGACGACAATGCCAGGGGAAGTAAGCTGCACAGATACAAGGGAGGAACGTAGCTGACAGTTCGGATCACACCTGACCAGGATTAAAAGACTAAGTTCGAGTCCCACCTGACTGGGATTATAATCCCTTATTGCCATGATGTTGGGGGATATAATGACGCTACGACAGCAATTTCGTCAAAACGGACATATTTTATCTTTGAAGTTTGAACGAAATTGAAACCCCATAAATTAGCCCCATAATGCCCCGATTTAGGTGGAAATTTTAAGCTGTTGAGGGTCCGGCGTCCTTAAAACGCCGGACCCCCTGAATGTATCCGGACTTACCTGGAGTCCAGGGAGCACGGCACTGTGAACACGCCGTACCCCCTGGATGTATCCAGACTTAGCTGGCATCCGGGGGCTACGGCTTATTCAGAACACCCTACCCTCACAGGAGCTTAAAATATCAACCTAAATCGGGCCAATTTATGAGGTTTCATTTTCTTTCAAAAAATAAAATGTCCACTTTGACGAAATTGCTGTTCTACATGAACTTAGGTGCGCCAGTCTCTGACGAGACAGAAACGGTAACACATGCAGACATTACCTACCTCACTGGAGACTTGGCCCCAGGTCCACTAGACCTAGAAAAATATTTATTTGTTTCATCCGACAGCAACTGTTCTTAAACGTCGCTGACAGCATTGTCCTGACGATTGCAACTGCTCTTCATGGATGAACTTGCTCAATAAGAAACTGAAGCAAAGCTGTTGGTTGGGATCGCATTTGACAGTTCATGGAAGATATGCTGATGCTGCAGGGTAAAAAATGCTTGTTGGGCTACGCTACATGAGCTTTCTGGGTGTGATAACGTCCACAACACGTGTCTGGACTAGACGTGCAGGATCTTATCCGTCCGCATCTCCACACAGGTTGGAAATAGTATGGTACGTCTTTTCCTTCTTTTCTTGGGATGGGTTGGGTCGGGTAGGAATGCCAGTTGTCAAAGCAGCAAGAGATCGTGGTGGTTTCGATCATCCAACTGTCAAGCCTTGTGTGCTGTTGGAGAGAGGGTGGGAGGCGTTTCTGAGGGAAAGGGTAGGCAGGCAATGGTGGTTGTAGGGGTCAGGGCAGACGGGCAAGGGCGTAGGTGACAGTGGAGGTACCACTTCAGAAGCTCAGAATCTAATGTCGCATTAACTAATGATAGCAACCAACTTCAGATGACAGCGACTAGCAATATACTCGGAAGTCGAAAATATGAACAAACCAACTTAATGTATGCTACTATGCTCTATCTACCGGCTTATACCTCTTCCTCCTCATGACTTCTCTGCTCTCACCTTCTCAATGTACGGCCTGGCTGTTTATTCAACTTTATTGTCCAAGGGCCTACTTTCACTTCCAGAGGCCTTGGGCACCTCGATTTGAACCTTCATCCCAGGTCTACCAAGCTCAGAACTTTCTCAGCCCCCTTTTGAGGCCCATAGACGTACTTACGCTCACAGAACTTTGATTTTGCCAAAATCAACGACCCAAAGACTATTTAGTATTGACCGCTGTTCAAATCTCTGTTGAGGTTTTCCAGAGAGGTCTTTGACTAAGGCGTGAACTGAATCTTGATTGTGTCCTACCGAGGGCCATGTTGCAGAACTCAGGGACCCTACAGACCTGTTTCCAACGACCAGACTGCACTGGGATGGCGGAAATATATTTGTGTGTTGGACTTCGGATGGGGATCTTTTTTCCTCTTTTTTCTTTCTATGTGTGCCATCCTTGCGCAGGGGCCATGCTAATCTTCTCTGTATCGTTCCAATCCAAGCAGTGAACATTACATCACCATTGATTGACAAGATTGATGACAGGATAACGATGCCCATGTTTCATGGAGGGGAATGGTGGAGGCCGTCACTTTCCCTTTCATCCTGCCGCCAGGCAAAGAGATCCTTAGGGGCCCATGTATGGAACATATGGCCCCATCAGAATTGGGTAGTTTTTTTTTCCGCAGGATCCGTCCAGGAGAGCTTAAAAACTGAGACAAGCCATACCAACCATACTGGCATCCACTCCAGAGGGTAACCTCCTAGTTCGGAGGCCAGGATAGACAGCTAAGCAAGAGAACAGATCCACTCCGGAGGGTAACGTCCTTGTTTGGAGGCCAGGATAGACAGCTAAGCAAGAAAATGCAGATTACGCTCGACAGTTTCCCTTCTAAGGTACGTCTCGCAGCATTCCTCTGACAATCGCTAACACTATTCCTGGATAAGCTAGCTTGCCAACTGGTAGACAAGATGAACAGGTAATGCGAAAAAAGGGCCAGCACCGATTCACAAACCAACAATACTGTACGTGCGCTTCATTCCACAGTTGCCCTTCTGAGGTTCTGCTGACAGCATTCCTCTGTCTGAGGTTGTGCTGACAACATTCCTCTGACAATTCCAAAGAGGTATTTACCATTCAGGGATAGTTAGGTTGATATATAGCTTGATAACTAAAAACCTGCTGATTTGAACGCCACCTGGCAGTTCATTCACAACATCCTGAGGATGCAACAAGCAGCAAAAGGCGACCATATCATCAGCCACAGAAAGGCGTGTGATCACAGCAGTAAGTGACAGACTCTGTGGTACGCACATAACTGGAATGCACAACACTTCCACTACCGTAGTCTGCCATTACGAAATGGGCTCAATGTCTCTGAGCTGCTGCCACAAATCGTATAACAAATGTCCTTATCAATACTTTAATTATTGATCCATTATGGCAAAACCTATCAACGATACAAAAATTGAGAGCAGCCAAGTTCTTCAAGTCTGTCTTTTCTAGAAGACTGCGTATCGATTCAACGACCACTAGCTTTCATGACTGCGCGTGTTGCCAGTGAGCCCCCCCACCCACCCACCCACCCCGGTTCCAGTTCGTCCAAAGGGATTGGCTCAAATTTGGGATTGGCTTGAATTTTGAAATTTTACAAGGAGAGGTAGTGGTAATCTAAACAACGTTGTACTGCCATGCAAGTCTTTTATTCTCAAAATTATGATCATATTCTTTCTGGAGTTTTGAAGATGCAGAAAGCAACCAGACAGACACATGTGAGGAATTTTACCTTTGCCCGCCACTTTGTGTCCAGCAGAATGTTATTGCTCTTAAAATCCCGATGGAGGACACGTGGATGGGCAGCCTCGTGAAGATATTCCTGCAATGTCAACAATGACAATATAAAAATATAAACTGATGGTAGAGCCAGATTGGCATGGAATATTGGAAAGTAGACTAGTTTCCCTATCTTTCTCCTACAATTAGACAGGCACTACCGGACATCAGATAATTTCAATGTGAAAGACGCCTTCAGATACAGTGTCTGCAACCAGGCATCACCTTACTGAGCTTCAGGCTTGCTGAGACTTTGAAACATACAGACACCGCACTGTAGTACAGTCAGCCAAGCCTGAACCGAGAAGATAGGTCGATCCTGAGAAGAGGTGGCAGTGATACACAACAAGATAATACATAAGGACAAACCCCAAGCTCATGTGGCGAGGGGCAGTTTTACATCTCTTCAAGCGCCCAACTCTCTCTCTCTCTCTCTCTCTCTCTCTCTCTCTCTCTCTCTCTCTCTC